AAATAAATAAAGGTATTGTGTCCACCTCCAACTAAAAAATATTTTTTTTAAAATGGTGAAGCATACAGACCGAGTTCACACAGTATGGGGAAAGCATGACATTCTTTGTTTTGTGGCAGCTTGCAGCAAACATTTATTGAGTGCCTACAGTGTTACAGTCACTTTGCCAAGCATTACAACTCATTATAGTATTCTATCTTTACAATTACCCTTTGAGATATGTAGCATGACTCTTATCTTGCAGTTGAAGAAATTTAAGTATAGAGATATTTAGTCATTTTAAGTAAGTAAGGGGCAAAGTAAGTACTTGATTCATCTCTGACTCCAAAGTCTGGGCTCTTAGCTTCTATGTGATACTGCCCATCAAAAAAAAAAAAAAAATATCCTCAATGCACCTGCCATGGTTTCCTTGACCTTCCACTATTGCCACATCCATTCCCTATGGTTTCTTTCTTTTAAAGCAACAATTGGAATGGGCATGTGGACAGGATTAGGATCAGGAATGGGGATAGCAGCATAAAGAATAGTAGGCCCTGTCCTGGCAATTCTGATATACATACTGTGTATACCTAAAATCAGGGCACCTGCCATCATCATACACCATGATGTTCCTTTCACTTGACCCCTTTCTTCAACTTTTGCAATGGTCAAGAGATGACAAATTCATTTTAAATTTATGTTCTATGATAAAATTATGAATAACTATGAACAGATATGTAATTTAGATATTGGGGAAAGTTTATAGAAGAAGCAAACTCAAATCCATAATAAGGTTAGGGAAAATAATACAAATAAAATAGCAAGAATGTAATGCCAGGGTGTGTCAGGGATAATAGTATCGTAGAAAGTGCACATCCAAACCGAATAGCAGATACTGAGAGCAACAAAGGGTTGCCAGGTGGGAATATGAACCCAGGGTGACTAGATCTGACAATTAAAAATAAAATCTAGATTTTTGGTATAAGCATATCTCCTAAATTGTAAATATTTTAAAGCAGTTCATTTTTATTTTATTTTTTGCTTTTTAAATTGATTTTTTAAAAAAATAAATGACAGCAGAATGCATTACAATTCTTATTACACATATACAGCACATTTTTTCATATCTCTGGTTGTATTTAAAGTATGTTGACACCAATTCGTATCTTCATACATGTACTTTGAATAATGATGTTCATCACATTCCACCATCCTTGTTAACCTCCTGCCCCCTCCTTTTCCTCCCACCCCTCTGCCCTACCTAGAATTCATCTATTCCTCCCATACTCCCCCTCCCTACCCTACTATGAGTCAGCCTCCTTATATCAGAGGAAACATTCAGCATTTGTTTTTTTGGAATTGGCTGACTTCACTTAGCACTATCTTCTCCAATGCCATCCATTTACCTGCAAATGCCATAATTTTATTCTCTTTTATTGCTGAGTAAAATTCCATTGTGTATATATGCCACATATTAATCCGTTCATCCACTGAAGGGCATCTAGGTTGGCTCCACAATTTAGCTATTGTGAATTGTGCTGCTATAAACATTGATGTGGCTGTGTACCTGTAGTATGCTGTTTTTAAGTCCTTTGGGTATAGACTGAAGAGAGGGATAGCTCAGGTCAAATGGTGATTCCATTCCCAGATTTCCAAGGAATCTCCATATTAAAGCAGTTCATTTTTAAAAAGCACTAAACCAGCTGACACTGCAGGCCAAACAAACAAACAAACAAACTTCACATCTGTAGGACTTTTATTTGTAGCCTGTCTTATAATGGGTGAAGTCAGAAAAATCTGAGATGGCAGGTTAAAAAGGCTGAAAAGAATTAGTGGAATATTTGGTTTTTGAAAAATGTACTTTGGTTAGAATAATTTATGTGGTGGAGGTAGATGATTGAGGGATGGAATGGGAATGGGAACTAAATAAACCAGTGGCCTTTTTGGAGCTGATCCTCTTCTTTCCCCCTTTGGAGTAGTATTGGTCTTGGACCATAAGGAAAAATAGCAAGAACCTAATTAACAGCTCTAAGGTAGCAATCAATTTACAATTGTGTGAAGTGCAAATTTCTTTGGGCAAGAAATAAATTACAGTATTTGCAAATTTGTAAACAATATAGCACTTTTTCCTGAATGTATTGGGTTTCTCCAGAAAAATAAAAACAAATTTGAAAAAGCAAAATGCTAGGAAAATAACCTATTGTCCCAAGAAATGACATTTTAAAAGTATCTTTAGTAATTGATTTCTCCATTAAATTCTTAGGAAATATAGGGGGGTCCCAGTTTTTAGGTCAATAGAATGAGAGTGTCTAGAAAGTAAACAAACAATTCAAATCCTTAGTCACAGTATATGATTGACTGGGTATCTTCTTTCAAAAGAGCTGAACATAAAAATTTTCCCTCAGTCTTCCCTATATCCCTAATTTGTGCCAAGAACTTCATTCTAAAAAAAGAGATAGTAAGCCGCAAGCCATAATTACCAATGTTTAATGTAACAAAGAGAGCATCAGTGATAAAGACATTAACTCAATCTTTCTGCTCCACAGAAGTAGTTTTTATAAACAATTCTATTCATAAATGTTTATCAGAATCATTTAATAAGATCCAATATCTGTTATTAGAGAGACCCTGAAAGAATGTATGGTTTATTTAGAAAAGTAAGAGCGCTAATTCAAGATTTTATCCATTTTTAAGGACTTAGCTGCAGGCTGAGCTAGAAGCCAAGCATACAAACTAAATGTAACTCCTTCCCTGTCCTCCAGGGGTTCAAAGCCTAAAGAGAAAACAGTTTACACCAATCATTTCGGCAGTGAGTTTGTTGGTAAAGAAGAAGCTTGGCTCTCCATGGATACTTGGACTGATGCTTGACTCTATCAGGAAATCATTGAACAGCAAAAGAAAATCAATTACCAAGCAGAAGGAGGGGAAAGGCATTAGAGGCAGAGGTAGGTGGAATATTAATGACCTTATGCAGGAGAATGACAGATAAAATTTGTGCTTTCAAATGATTGCTTTTTCCTATGTTCTTTTTCAAACCATTTCACAAAATATTTTTAGCAAGTCACTCAAGAGCCTTAAAATATATTCATACCTTTTTACTCAGAAATTGCAAGTCTAGGAATCAGAGATGCTGCCAGAAATTTATATATGAGGAAGTGTATCACAGCATTATTATAGTCAGAAACAATCCCCATGTTCATCAATGAGTAATGGTTAGGGCTGGGGATGTGGCTCAAGCGGTAGTGCGCTAGCCTGGCATGCGTGCGGCCCGGGTTCGATCCTCAGCACCACATACAAACAAAGATGTTGTGTTCGCCAATAACTAAAAAATAAATATTAAAAAAATTCTCTCTCTCCCTCCCTCTCTCTCTCTCTTTAAAAAAATAAAAAATAAAAAAAAAATGAGTAATGGTTAAACAAACTTACGGTACGTCCAAGCCATAGGTCTACACAATCATCAAGTGATTTTATGTATTCCTCATTAAAAAAAAAATCACAGTTTGAAATAATATTTCAAAACAAGCAAAAATGAATATGAAATACATTTCAAAATGATGTAAAATGTTTCATGAAGTATCATCCTAATTGTAATAAAAACAAAAAACTCTCAACCTTGTTTATAATTTTCACCCGTATCCTATTTTTCTAAAGTTCTTCCTTATTTTAGACATACCAGAAAATTAAATGGGAGGAGTTTCTGTTTGTTTTGTGTGAAATCAAAGGAATTTACTTTCAATTCTTTTCCTCTTATCAGTGATCCTGACTTGGGGCAAATCATTTACTAAGTAAGTCACATTCTCATGATTGTATCCATGCTGGCCAGGACCTAAAAGAAGACCAGGTGAGGAAGTGTCCAGATGCTGGATTCTCCCAGGAGAGGGAACAAATATGATGGGAGTGAGAATTGAGGGTGTGAAGACCAGAAAGGGCAGCTGCTGTGTACCGAAAATGAGTTACCAGCATTGAGAATTGAAAGGATGGAAATTAAGAACTGTCCTGATGCATTACCTGATTAATAGCCAAATGAAGAGCACTAAAAAGATGTTATTAAAGTTTGGAGGAGCGTTGTAGTGGACAGAGCCCCTCAGGTATCTGACCAGGTATCACTGAAGATATTCAGGCCCTAAAACTTCCCTTTTGGTCATCTTTGTTAGAGGGCATAATTGTGCAGGACTCGCCCTCTTGCCTATCATTTATTGAGAATTTAGTTATTGTAGAACTTAAAAGACCTCTTTGCAAAAGGGTTTGAGCTGTTAGGCGAAAAAAAAACTTATAAAAAGAACATATTAGAAAATAATTTGAAGTTAAAACACTATTTGAGAAAATTCAAACTGTGTACAAAAATTCACTTCATCCATCAACTCTCCTTCCTTCTAAAATGTACTCATATAAAATATGCTTTAAAAGACAGAACAAGCCAGGAATATAGCCCAAGAAATTTACCACTAAATGAGGACACATATGTGTTTTAGTTCTTGGAAAAACTGTGCCTTGCTGACTTTTTGCCTGGATTTCTTGTTTTTCTGCACTGAAGGGCATGTGGTAATTTCTCCCTCCGATAAATTTTCTTGCTTTTACAGTTTCTTCTTCTAACTGAATGTTAAGCACCTTTCCCACACCATTGCTATTCTAGGTTATGTAGGTCTACACAATCATCAAGCAACCTTCAGCAATCACTAACTAAATGGATCGAGACATTTACCCAACCACAAAACTTAGACCGTTTGGGGATTTTCCAGTCTAATTTAATCTATATAAACCTGACACCAGCAGATTTTCATTTCCTTTGTTCCTTGTGTAGACTTGGTTTAACGTGTTAGTCTCTAAAAGGGAGAGTGGAGACAGCTGTTGAGAAATGAGGAGATTGGCAGTTATAAACACGCAATTTGGTCTAATAGCTTTGATATGCTAAACTTGCTAGCTCCTCCAAGTGTACCTTCCTGATTTTGCATCACAACACACCGAATCCCAAAGGAAGCCACGATAGATTTTTAAAATTAAAAATAAAAAGAAATGCAAACCAGTGGAACGGTTCTTTTAAATCATCTCCAACAGATTCATTCTACGAACTGCAGGCCAGCACAAATCCTGGTACACTAGAGACCTTTAAAAGAGGAGAAGCCAAGAATACTGATCAGGTTCTAAAAAGCGAAAACAGGTGATGTCATAACGCACACTCCTGTGTGATCACCGCCAAGGCCGCGTGGGGAGCTGCGGCTCCAAAGAGCACCGAGCTCTGCGCCAGCCGGCAGTCCGAGTTATCTCCGGGGCCCGGCGGTCACCGATGAGCACCCGGCACCAATCAGGTTCTTGCTCAGCTCCTGCCTTTGTTCTCACTGGGGAGCAGGTTTCGGGCGTGTATCATCCGCAATACGCATTCTGCCCGCACGCGCGTTGCTGGCCCCCTCGGTATACCTGGCACCCGCATTTGTTTGTCCGTCCGCACCTTGTCAGCCAGAGCTTTCAGCTGTTACATCTGCCTTCTTGCCTCAGAGTGGACGTAAAACCCCTGACTCACCATTTTTAGCTTTGGGAGAAGCTGGTCCTGCCCAATCGTTTTAGGTGGCAATTTGTTTTCCGAAGCTACCTTCCCAGGCAGGGCTCTGTCCTCTGCATGTATCTGACCGGCTGCTTAAGAATGGATTTTGGAGTAAGAAGAAAAACCTCTCTTTGGTCATTTCGTGTTTTCACTGCTAAGAGTACTGTGAGAAGGTGCTTCAGAGAAGAAGCGGAAACTGCTAAACCCGATATGTCCCCCCCCTCCCCCACCAACTGGATTATTGTATAAATATGCCTCAGACATCTACCCCCATCCCATTCTCAAGCCTCAGGTAACGAACTAGTCTTTTACACAAGTCTCACAATAAATGACGCATAAAGTTCTTTGAGATCTCTGGATGCAAAGTGCATCAAGACTGCAGCCTCCTTTAGAGCTAAGCTTAGATTTTTGGCTGAGGGAAAGCCCACCACTGCCCCGAAGGAAGGAACGTCTTAATCTCTACCCTTCTCTCACCCCCACACCACCCCTTTCTCCAGAAATCAGAAAATGTTTAGCTCAATCGTAGACCCTCTAGCGAGCTCTAGCTTCCAGCTATTTATCTCACTTTCCTCACCATTTCTGTAGAGACCTTGGAGAGGGGCGTGGCTTGACTTGGGGGTGGAGCTGATCTGCCAGTGTTATTTGCATATAACACACCCTCTTTTTCTTATTGGAGGAGCCGTGCACATTGTATTCCCTCCCACATCACTACCTAACCCGCCATCTCCCTTCAGTTCTGAGCCTCGGAGATAAACTTAACTTGCCCGGAGATTCAAGGCATTTTCGGCCTCTGCGATTGGCCGGTGAGGCTCTCAGCCGAGCCCTAGAAGCTCATTGGCTGCGGCCAAGCGCTCCGGGGGCGTGGCTAGAGCTGTCCGATTAGCGGGAGGGGGCGGTACCGGAGTGTGGAGGTGGTGAAGGTGGTGGGACGGCGGGGGCGGGGCCCGCACTGAGGCGCTGCGGCGGCGGCGGCGGCTGTGGTGGCGGCTGCTCGTCCTAGGCTGGCGGGGGCGGGGGTCTGAGGATGGGGGCGGGAGGAACAACGGGCCGGTGAGGAGCAGCCGCCGCCGTCTCCGCCGTCGCTCCGACAGCCGTCGCCGGTGGTCGCCTCGCGCACCCCGGCTTGCTTTCGGGCCGCTGCCTTCCATCTCCACATCCCGCCCGGAGGAAGCTGAGGCTGAAGCTCGACCGGGGGACGGTCCGGCCCTGCATCTGCGCGACTGGCGGCAGTGACAGCCCTGCCCGACCCGCCGCCCGCCCTAGCCTTCACCCTCGGCGCCCGCAGCCACCATGAACCGAGGCGGCAGCAGTCCGTCGGCCGCCGCCAACTACCTGCTCTGTACCAACTGTCGGAAAGTGCTGCGGAAGGTACGGGCTTAGCCTGAGGTCCGGCCGGAGATGGGCGCCTGCCGGCTGGGGTCGGGCTGCTCGGGGCGAGGCTGGAAGGGATCCCTGGCATCGTCCCTGCGAGGCTCAAAAAGATCCCTGGCTTGGTTCATGCACGGAAACAGAAACAGGGGGTGTGAGTTGAGGGTGGAGGGTTCGGGCGTTTGCTGCTTTTTATCTCCGCCAGGACAGAGGCTAGTCCCGAGGGGTTGGGATTTGGGGGTGGGGGAATGCCTGTGGTCTGTTTTCAGCTCGCCTCTGTACCTGGCTATCCCCGGTCTGCTCCTCGGTCAGACTGAGGGAGGGACTGGTTGGAGCCTCCTCCCTGTGCAGTTTAGCCGTAGATGGAGGTTGGGATGAAATCAGAGCAGCCTGGTCTGGTCTTGAGGAACCCTGGCTCCCTCTCTGCTGTGGCTAACTCTGATGGGTGCTGTTTTTGTTTATTCTGTTGCCTTTGCTTTGCGCGCCGTGCCGGACTCCCCCTTTTCACATTCTTTTGATGGTAGTCCTGGGTCTATAGTTCAGTCACGAAGGAACTATTAAGGCGTCTTGAACTTTATGCCCATGGGAAATGCTGTTCGATCTTACAGTTACTCTGGTGGGGTTACAGGAGAAGACTGAGATGGACATGGGTTGTCTCCCTCCTTAGCACCCCCACCCCGTGTTGATCCAGAAAAATCAGATGCACCATCAGCTTAATGCTTCCCATAGGGACTGATAGAAAGTTTACTCCAGTATTGTTTAGATTACTTGGCTTAATCACTCCGTGGGGGATGGGGAGAATAGGATGGAAGAAGGAGATGAAAAACTGTCTCTTTAGACTGAGAAGAGTTTTAAAATTAGATTTTAACTGCCTCCACGAGTAATATTATAATCAGTTTATTCTTCTCCAAACTCTTATTTTTTGCATTGCATTAAGTGGAAATCTTAGATGAGGTGTTTCTGTTTGTCCAGTACAAATGAATTAAAATTGCTGAGCTGTGCAAATGCACCGGGTCTGCGAGCTAAAATGAATATGGTACCCTTCCCCCCCCAGAGAGAGAGAGAGAGAGAGAGAGAGAGAGAGAGAGAGAGAATATTTCTCTATATACAGTCACTTTGGGATTGTTCTTTATATATGAAAGAAAGAAAGCACATAAGTAAGCAAGCTCAAATATTTGCGCTCTTTGTCCAAAAACTGTTTTTCTTCCTCTGTGGGTCAGGCCAAGTGCCAATCAAAGTTGTTTTTCAAGCCTCTTTTCCCTGCAGTAGGGCTGCTGCTTTTTTTTTTTTTCCTCCTATTTTATTTGAGAGCTTGAGGAAAGCATAGAGATTGCAGATTGAAGTTAATCAAAGAATTAAGTATGCCTTAAATTGTGTTTATTGGATATGTTTCTCTTGAAACAGATTTTTATTAAATGTGCATGTTGAGTATGTGCAGTTATTTTTTTCCATAAACTTCGGGATCAAATTACAGTTGATACTTGCTCAGCTCATTGTAGGGCAGCTTGTGAGAAATGTAATGGATCAGAAGTGCAGATCAGGTTAGTTGAATGTTAACTCTTTCACTGCAGGGCCAGTTGTCATCTGAATTTAGTTCTTAAAAAATATTATTCCCATACTTTAAAAGTGAAAAGGTTGTCTTTGACATAAAAAGTATGTCTTTAAGACATATTTTGATTAAACTTAAGCTTAGTTAAAATGACAGCAAGTTTTTTTTAATCAAATAAGAAAAAGATGTGCTGTTATTTACTGAAAAAAGATTTTTTAATGCCAATGGCAATTTGTTAAGCTAACAAAAGCTTTGAAGGTGATATAGGGCTTCAAACTATTTTATTTTTCTTTTGAGAAAACTGTGGCTATGGATCCATGACATTTTACTAGTTAAAACATCTTTATTTATTTCTCTTAGTTTGTTAAAAACTAGTATTTGTTTACCTAGAAAGAACATCTTCATTTTTAGACATTATTGAGAAAATATGGAAAATGGATGTGAACATTTTTATATTTTATAATTGCTATGCACATCTCTGCCAGTACTCCAGTTTTTAGTAACTACAAGGTATTTAATGTTGATTCATGTAGTAGCATGAAATGAATTTAGATGGAAATAGAATTGTTTGTGCCAGTTATGACATGACTTGGCAACATTTGTAGCTTTTTAAGATTGCCTTTCTTAAGTGCTCTTAAATCAGTGTCTAGCAATTTAAATTTTTCATCATTCTAAGAATAGCATGTAAGGGTTTATTTCTAATAAGGACATATTTTTCTTTTTGATAGAATGTAAGTAAAATTCATCTATCACTTTCAAAAAAATGTGATTCTGTGAGTTTATCTTGTGTTTTCCACTAATGTAGTGTACACTAATAAACAAATGGATCATAGCACTTTGAATTTTAGTTCAGTGTAGCTTACAATGGAAGAATGAAAATCATGTGTATCTAGTGTAAATTATACTTTGCTGTTATAAACCCTCATTAATGATGAGGGAAAGGTCACCTTTTTATATGACAAAAATTTGTGGCAATATGCTTAATTTGGGAGAAACTTTAAAAAGAACTGAATTCACAGTCAAGTAAACCTATTTGTTTTAATCCAGTACCTGAATATTCAATTTTATATTGGATGAGAATCATATTTATTCATAGAAGTGTCCTTACAAATTTGATTCAGTATCTTCTTAAATATTAAATGTACCAAATTTATAACTTAGGTACTAACTTATCTCTAGGAACAAATGAACAAACTATCATCATATTCAAAACTCCTATTAAGTCTAACTTACTCCATTGTCACATAGTTTAATAAAGTTTTTAATGAAACAGGAAATTCTATTTACTTTGTAAGGTTAACAAGTTTTGAAATGTGACATATTTTACTTGAAGAAATTCCAGTGACACTGAGATGAATCTGATCCTTTAATTTGAAAAGTGGAATGTGAAACTAAGGAAGGTAGGTAATTGTCAGTCCAGTCATCTTCCAGTAAAGAAAAGTTGGTATATTACAATGTATTTTGAGTATTGAACTCTTATTATTATTCTAACATTTAAAATTTGTTGGTATGTGTAAGAGTTCTAGTGATATATCTTTGTGTGATTATTATGCTTTTTAATTTTCTTTATAAAATCACAAATTTTGACAACACTTTAATGTTTTGTAAGCATAGATACTGTCAAATTTGAAAATTTTAGATTAGGAAGCTTATTAAATATTAATACTTTTATGTATTTCAGCCAATAGAATGGGTTTACTTATACTATGGACTAGTAATTTATTCTGCTTTTGTTAATCAGGTTTCTTGTGTTATACAGTTTTGATTGTCAAAAGCAGTTTTTTACTTGATTTTTATCTTAAATAACCTAACAGGAAATCAAACAATGAATTTATGACAGCAAAGTTGTATGCAGTGGTTTTCAAACTACTTTATAAGATGCTTCAGGGTTTTAAAATACTTAAATTGGATTGAAATTTTAAGTATCTTTTAAATTATTTAAAAAATTTAAGAATATAGCTGCTTATAACATGTATACATAATCCACCACATTGGAGCATACCACAGTTATCTTTTGTTACAAGATTATTCTTATGCAGGCCTTTAAATTAAACTTGTTCTGTTATCTTTGTACATATATTTAAACTTTTTTGTTGCTGTTATCTACAGGAAAGATTCTCATTAATTATGAAGGCATTGGCCTTAAAAAAAAAAATCCTGTACATATCTGCTCATGTTAAATTTCTGTGAGAACACAAATACTGTTATCAGTAATTGTTACTTTATAACTAAAATATGTATCAATTTTTTGTATATTTATATGCTTCATAATTTAAGTTCAATATGAGATTTAATTTATAAAAGCAATTCTGCTACTTCCCCCAGCTCCCTACCACCAAAATTAAAAAAGGCCTACCTGCTAATGTGGTGATACTGGAAGCCATAAAGATGTGTTTACAATTGAATCTTATAACAGGTCTTTTAATTTTGAGCAAAATAGCCAATGTCCTTAAAACCTAGTTTTCTTTGGAAAATGTGGATAATGTCTACCTGCTCCACAGGTTGCTTCATAGCTCAAGGAAGATAATGTGTCTTAAGTACTTTGTAAATCACGAAGTACAACTATAAACACAAAAAGGAAAGAAAAAGACTATATATTTATACCTTTTCCAGAACATCTAAGTTCTTTTTGTGTTGTTCAGTACATGCTGAGTAATTTGGTTAATGTTCACTTTTCTCTTCAATTTGTTGCCTGCATGAGAGTTAAAGATTATGCTTTTAGTTTAAATGATCATTTTGCATATTTTATTTCCATATTTCAATTCTCTCACTCCACATACCCCTTAGTTAAATGGTAATGCAGTACATTGTTTTTGGATTTTCAAATAATTAAATTACCTCTGATACTTCAGCAGTTAATGGAAATTGCTTTTTAGTGCAAAAAGATTAAGAGTTAAAGATGTTGGTGCTTAATAAAGGATGGGGGTAAACTTAGCATAAAATACAGATTTTTTAATTAGTTCAGGAGAAGAGTTATAAAACTAAAAGTCTTAATCTTTTCTTCTCATCTCTGTTCTTTTCATTTTCTCCCTTGGAAAGATTGGATTCTAACAATTTAGGTTTGTAATGATCTTCACAACTTTAAGAGTACTTTTACATTATCTCTGACATACAACCAGGAAGTCCACTTAAATCTAATGCTGTCTCTGTAAAAAACTATTCAAATTGTCTCCTGCAGTATTAAGGTTTCCGTGGAATATCGTAGCATCTGTGGAGTACCCGTAGGTACCTAAAATTCTCCAGATAATAATGATTGGGAATTGAAAATTAGCCACTTTTTAACATACTATTGCAGATCAATTGGAGGAGAAGGAGAGTGGAGTAAGCTGGCTACTTTTATTATATGTCTAGCAGTTGTTTGGTTAGTTTTTTTTAAATAAGACAGTGTAATAGTTCTCAAAATATGGTCCTTAGACCCCTGTGGGTATCCAAGACTCTTTCAGTGATCCTA